ATGAGGCAGCAGTGTGGCTGTCTGACGGAGTAACCAAACCTCATGCTAGGCCATAATGGCAATCATCAAGTTTATGAAGTGACACTTCCCCCCGATCAACCCTGGTGAGACTGTACCCGTAGAGTGCTACGTCCAGTTTGAGGTTCCACAGTGCAGAGAGAACACTGACAAGCTGTAGGAAGTCCAGCAGAGGCAACCAGGGCAGTTGGGCCATATGACCCACTGGGAGATGCTGAGAAAGCTGCATGTATTCAGCCTTAAAAAGAAGTGATTCACACAAATCTTCCTTCTTTCTTCAGCTACCTAAGGAGAAGGTGTAGGGACGAGGGAATGAGGCTCTGCTTGGAAGTCATCAGCAACAGAGCAAGAGACAATGGGAAAAAGTTACTACTCAGGAAATTATGATTAGCTATACAGGAAACATTTTTCATTATGAGGGTTGTCGAACATTGGAACCAGAGAAGTTGACCAAAGAGGATGGTTCACTATCAGTGCACATATTCAGAACCTGACAGGGCAAATGCCTTAAACTTGATCTTGTTGGCCCGACTTTGAATGGAGGATTGGACTACATGACCTCCAGACTTCCCCTTTCAACATAGGTTATTTTGTAATTCTTAAGTTATTGGAAGGAAGAAAGAAAGACTGGACTAACAGTTCCATTTTATTGAAAGCGTTATAGTAATGCTTGGAAAACTAACATCTAGCTTGCTGTGAGAACTGCATCTGTGAAACAAGCTGAATCCTGTGGACCACTATAAGTCTGTCAAACTTTGGGCAGCAAGATGGAGGCTGCCGAGTGTGACTTATTCTATAAATTGGATTCTGTATGATCCTGAAATGCAGACTGTGTACGATCCTGAAATGCAGACTGTGTACAGAACTATCCACTGATGAGTTCTTTGATTGCCATTTCACTCTATGTATGGCACACTAAAAATGCTGCAACTTTTAGTCATTTTGCCATTCTGTAATAGTTTAGAATTACAAAACGTGTTAAAAGCTTTCTAGCCTCTGATGTTAAGCTTGTCTTCACTTCTTTCCACAGGGACAACTTCAGGACCGAGGAAGGATGCAGCCACTTCTCCTGTGCTGATTGGCAGCAGCAAAGAGATTGCACCAGTCCAACACGACACTTCACGGTAAGCTGCCAGGTAATCTCTAGTTTAAGATTCTGCGAACACAACAATCAAATTCTCCTGGAAGCAGGGAAGTGGCTGAATTTGGATGGTATTTTGTGTTAGCACGAACTGGATAATATAAACTAAAAACTACCATATCCTTTTGACATTTATAGTAAGCCTTAAATTGCTTGTTCGAATAAGAAAAGCAGAAATATGCTAAGTTCTAACATTTTAATTTTACTTTGATTTTGAACAGAAAGTATTTTACGTTCCAAGTCCTGACACATTAAATACATTTGTAAATAATTTGAATGGATGGTGTTAACCCCTTTTAGGATTTAAATCCACTTGAAGGTTTTAATCCCCCTGTATTCCACTCCTGCCCTGTATTTTATCAAATGGCATTTTTTTTTTAAATGTGTTGTACCAGAGTTATTTTATGTTTGATGACAAACAAGAAAATCACATTAAGTCAGCAATTCCTGGTTATACTATATATCTGCACTAAATGCACTGGAAAAGCAGCATTATCACTTCTGCTCCAATGAAGAAAAAAAAAAAGCAGCATTGTTGTTACACTTAGGAGTCTGAAAACAACTTGCTTTCCTTAGGCAGGATTACAATTCTAGCAATAAGTGCCTACAACAGCATACAATCCTTACTTTTCTTTATCATACCCCACATTTTCTTGTAATAAAATCTTTAGTTGAGTAACAAAGTAAATGCAGGTTAAGGTATGAATTTGCTGTGTTTTACACCACTAGTTAGATGACTTTGTGCAGTGGGATGACAAGAATGTACAGCTGCTCATAAGAAGAGTTAAATGTTTCTTAGAGACTGAGAGGGCTTGAGTCAGGTTTAATCTTCCCTTGGCCCAGTGGACTAGGAAAATGTATGCCTGATATCATCCCTGTATTCTTGGCAGCAGCTGGCAGTTTATTTCTATCTTCTGAGAGAGCTCATGATATATAATAGGTGAAAAACCACTATCAATATTGACAAATTTGTACTTACTTGCTATGGAAACACTTTTTTTTTCCTGAAGGAGAGGATGATAATTCTGGGAGGATTTAAGGGCTGAGATAGATTGGGCTCTGTTTCGCACAAGTAACTGCATGTTTAAACAAACAGAAACCATAAGATTGCCTAAACATTTCTCTTAGAAGCGAGAGCTCCCTTTGCAAGCCGGTAATATCACATAAAGAATGTGTAAAGATGCTGCTTGATACTGTCTAATACTGATAAGTTGAGACTCCATTCAAGCACTGAGGAGTAGAAATAATTATTCACACCATACAACAACTGTTCAGAAAAAAGGAATTTTATGCAAGGGGATTGATGGTCCATTTTTTTCATAGAGGGGAGTAAAATAATTGTTGAAATATGCTGCTAGAAATCGTATCAGATAAAGTGATCAGTGAAAGGAGTCTGATTAGCTGTCATCCTTAAAGGGTTTGTTTTACCAGTTGATACGTTGAAAAATCTTGTATTTCTGGGGTGCTCTCTCCCACTCTTCCTTGCTTTCTTTCTCTGTGTTGATGCTGTAAGTATAATTGACCAGTTTAAGCAGCCATGTTGTGCTTTCCCTTACTCATGGCCTTCTCTAATTGAAAATGGTAAATGGACAAGTATTTCTGTGGAGACCTAAAGCTGATCCTATCCTTCATCAAAAAACCTGCTTGGGCAGCAGGTCAGTGTCAATTTATCACTGAATGGTTATACGCTTAGACTGCAGGTTTAACTAACTAAATTAATCAATATTGAGAATTATTGCTGCTTTTGTGCCACTAAAGTTAGGGTTTGTCAGCATGTTTGTTATAATCTGTGATTTGGGGGGGTTAACAGCTTAACCGCAACAGTTGGCACGGGCCTGAAACTTGCAGCACAAAGCCCTAGCCTAAGAGCAAATTTATTTATCGGCAGTACGTGTAAACCTAATTACTTTTGACTATTTAAATTTACAGGACTAGATTCAACTCATGTTTGTGCCAGCTCTAACTAGCACAAACCCTGGCACCCTGCAGTAGCAGCCGTGGAAAGCCTGCCAGGGAGAAGGTGTTGGAAAGCGACAGAAGCTCCCTGCCAGCACGAGGCATCAGGGTGCTAGAGCAGCTTCTGGGGAGGGCTGGCTGGATAAGCAGGCATGGCAGGTAGAAGATGCCTTGGCTTGATAGCCTGTCTTGGCAAGGCTCAGCTGGAGGCTTCAACGTGTGTTACAGCTACCTCAGGCTTGAGGAAGGATCACTGCAGTCCTGCGTTCTTCTCTCTCTCAGAATGAATCTTGCCTGGGACAAGAAGTAAGTGTCCCTGGAAAGGAAAGCTGTGTGCTTTGAGAGCTCTAGTGCTAGACCTGTAGAAGGAACAGACTTGCAGAAGGTGCACAAGGTGGTTTCAGTGACACCTCTGAAAGAAAACCAGCATTTCTTTATCTAGCATCCTGAGTTGGGCTAATAGTGGATTTGTTTGCCTATCCTGCTTCAGTGCGTGCCTGTTCCTGTTTTTCATAATACAGCCAAGCACTGCATGTTTGATTACCTAATGTTCGTAATCCAAGTTGTCTACACCTGCAGGAGCCCCTTGAAATTTGTTCACAGCAGGTCTGGAAAGCTTTTTTGCTCCATGTGCTCATTTATCTAGACCAAAAGTGATATATTTGAAAAATAAAAAATAAAAAATCACAGGCAAGATTTGGGCTGGGCAAATTTGGAAGAGTAATTTTGTTCCTTGTCCCTAAAGTGTAGCTCCTCTGACTATCCTAACCATTACCATTTTGATGACCAGGGAAATCTTTTTCATCACTGTTGTTTGCCTGGAAGAAAGGAAAGACTCTGTGTTTTGACTGTGAGCTGGAGGGGAGCTGGAAAACAGAGTTAGTGACATTTGTATGTCTTTATTTAGTAATGAAAAAGTTTTTTGATTAACTGAATCTTACCTTAGGTATAATCAGGTACTGATTCCAGCAAAACAAGTGCTGTGTTGCAAAACAGAAGTGAAACTGCTCTAAATCAATGTATTAAGCTATTCTTTTAGAAAAAAAAATAAATTGTAAGTTGTGCCTTGTGAAAGGCCATTTAATTTGATTACAGCCCTGGTGCAATTGTCAGGCTCTCCCCATGCAGGAACAGTTGTAGTGTTGAGTTTGGCACAGTAAGTCCTATAACGCTGCCGGTAATCAAGCACTTAAAAAGACATGAGCAAAGGTTGTTCTGCTCACCATGGAAACAGATAATTCTCCTGTAGCATTTTTCACTTTGGGCATCTAAGATGTGAATTTAAGAACAGTTAGGTAAATTAAGGGATTGAGTGATGGTCTGGGATTTCAGCATTAAGCCTATGTTTTCTTGTTCCAGTTTTAAATCAGAGCTCTAATGCTAGCTGAACGCATTGTCTTGGAGGGAAGGTTCTTGTAGCCATTAAAATAAGTTATTTAGAAGTTCCTGCAATATGAATATTATATTTGAGTTGTATTATTATCTGTTAGACTACAGTGGCCTGCTGGAGTTTTTATAAACAGATTGTATTGTGTAAATTTGTGTTCAGGGACATTTTAAAAACAAAACTATTTACCCAATTGCCCAGCACATCTCAGGTGAATGTGTATTCGGGGACTTTTAAGCAAATTAATATCTGATGTAAAATATAATGTGCAGAGTTTTATACTTAATAATGCGCAGTGGAATAGTCTAGAGTAGATCCGTTATGCTGAGTGTTAGGAAATATGACAGTGATGAGATTTAAGCTTTTGCCTTACTTATGCAGTAGTTGCCTTTCTGATCTGTGCCTGTTGGGTGCTTAAATATGGTTCTTCATTCTTCTGTTAAGACAATGCTATAAAGTTCCTTGTGCTTTAGAGTCTAAGCAAGCACTGCCAAAGAAATAGGTTACTGTTTTGTGTGTTTTTTTTCTCTGCCTTGGGATCAGACACCATTCAACAGTCAAGAGGACGATGAGGAGAAGAAAACTTTCATTCCAGGTTTAATTTAGGAACATTTAAAAGGATTAAAAGTGTGTTGGGAGTGGGGTGATGAGTCAGGTGCTAAGTGTGGTGGGAGACTCAAGTTTTGCCTACTCCCTCAGAAAGCCAGCAGCACAAAAAGTCCAATATAGTTCCATATGCAAGTGATAAAACCAGACGTTGGCAAATTAATCTCTCTTATTCACAGTGTAGGTTGTTAATTGTTCTCTCTGCTGGCTGTCGATATAATGTGAAATTTTCATTCCCCATTCAAGATGGAAAAAGTTGTGGCTGAAAATGTTAACATTTGCATTTTTATTTGTTGATTTATTTAAAGGACAGCCTCTCTTACAGCAATCCATCACTCAGTGACACCCCAAATATGAATAATGTATTGTAGACTTGCGGTTACAATGTGTAATAAGTGCCAGAGACAGTAGAAGAATGTTAACTATGTTGCAAATGTAATATTTATCGACTCATAGTTTATTGCTTTCGAGGTTCAATAATACTGACCATAGGACATTAATATCACTTATCTTGATCTTAGTTGGGCACCTCTGTATGTAGAAATAACCCATCTATCTCATACTTACAAAATAAATGTGAGTTTTACAGCGCTTTGTAAGAAGTGCATTATAGGTTTCTTTGCTTAGTGCTCACAATTCTCCTTTTCTGCCTTCTCATTTACTTATATCTGACATTGATCCCACTCCAATTGCCTGACCCAGATGGTGAGCTTTTAAAGCTAGAGGCTTTATTTACTGGCTGCATTATGATCTTGTGCTTCTGATGGTGTTTGGACCAGGTCTCTTTTCCTGTTAAAGACCAGTATCAAAAGAAACTGTTAGATCGTTTTCTAGTGCTCCTATCTGAAAAGACAATGGCTGAGAGGCTAAAACAGAGATAACTTCTCTTTTGGGAATACACGCACAGCAAATCTAAGTCATCTCTTTTTTTAGAGGATCGCGGGTGCCAGAAATAGAAGTGTTTAATTAGGTCAACAGTTGTTATTATAGACTTAGCATTTATTTACAGAGAAGTTGTTAATGAATGAATAGAAATAC